CTCTCACGTAGTCCAGTGACGAGACGTTTGTGGGCTATGTGTGTTGCTTCTACACGAGCTATTATTACCTTGTGAGAGAGTTATTGTAGTAAGTAGTTGTATGGGCCAAACCTCACGATAATGTACTATCATTTTCTGCTCCATGCCGTTCTTCTTTTAAGCTTAATTAGGAAAGTGTCAGAAAATAGCTGCTATTGTTAACGTGGCAATGACCTGTCTCGATATATTCGCGTAACCGAAGATCACAGTAGCCACATAATACTTAGCTAACAAATTTCCGACCAGAATTCATTCGTTTTACCCGCTCCTCAAGGCTATGGTAGCTACCAAATCTAACAAATCGGAGAAGCTCTATGATTAGCTCACCATCAGGAAACTCTTTCACCCTTGCCAATATCCGTCAATAAATCGTTAGGAGAACGAAAGAGTTGCGTGGGAGTAGCAAGCCAAATTGATCACCAGGATAGGCTGAACGGGCTCGTCCAGCCTGCGCATATTCCGGATTAACTGCCAACCACAGTGCTTGATAGTGCCCTCAAAACGTATGGTGGGAATTACACTAGCAGCATACCTATTGAGTCTTGAAAATACAGTGCAGTGTAGCAAAAGACTAGGCTGGTGAAACCAAATATGCAGAGACGGATTATTGCAGATGGCGTTTTATTTAGTTCTTGAAAGATTCGATATGCTTCTTTTGGCATGCTTTTTGTGACCGCGCTGCTCCTCTGCGGTTTATTTCCTGGTTTAATTGCTCCACGCCCACAAGCAGCTGAGAGGACAGGACAGTATCATATTATGCTCTGGGAAACCAGGCGAGGGCTTTGACTATCACTGTAGCAGCTCCAGTGAGGCAGCACTACGCCCCCCGAGATCTATTTTTGCTGCACTTTCACGGCAGATGGCAGATACAAAAGAACTACAAAATACCTTTTCAAATAATACTCATCATGAGCCTAGTGGAGACAATCAGGTTGCCTACTCAATGTCAGACAGCTCTTTCTATCTGAACGGTCTTCACACATGCGCTGTGATTCTGTGGATTCATAGCCCAGCAAAAGAAATGCTTCCATTCAAAGTAGCCTATGTCACACTTTTGATGGCTTATTTTCTGGTCTTGTAGCCAGTCAGGGATCTGAAGCGCACGCCAGATAAAACTCCCGTTGCTCATGAATCATACTGGGCACGCCAGAGGGACAGTCAAGCACCAGGACTCTACGCGATGTTCATATAACAATCGTCTATATTTATGATGTCCGGCTTCTCTAGCCGTGGGATTTCTGTAATAGCTGACTCTCATGAGAACCCCAATCTGATCCCACCTTGAGCCCTTTGTGACCTTCAACCAATCATGTATGTGACTACACAGGTCGAGTAGCCCGGTCACACTAGGTCTCCAAAAGCCTGACTAGAGCATTTTTTTCGGTCGTTACCGCAAAGTGCCCCAGCATCTGGACGTGTGGCAGAAGTCCACGTACTGGGTTCCAAGCCTCAACCGCCAGCGTCAAATACCACAAGTGAGCGAAACGGCGAGTCGCGGCACTTTGGTTTGTCGAAATCATCCATTGAAAAAAGACCCGAGAGTCGATGCTTACCCGGGTACTCTTGGACAGTGTGAAAACTGCTTTCTGAGAAAGAGCCGCGGGTGGTTCTTGAGATCGGTGTTGGACAGCAGCATGACCTGCTGTCTGCCGATTTACCAGCCACATCGAGGCCGGCGCTCCGCTTGAAGGCCATACGGACATGCTTGCCGTTTGGCCTCGCAGCTTTCTTCGATGTGGACGCAATCTTTCCAGGCGAATTTGGCGTTCTCAGATCAAGACTGTGCTTGAGAGAGGGCCAGGTCGGCCGAGTCTCTAGCTCGGAAAAGGTCCTCTCGTCCCGAATTGCAGCCTTGGTGGGCGGGTCTCCTTTGACCATGGTAGCGAGAACAGGGACGGAGGAGCGTCAAAGACGGAGAGGGATTGAGAAGAGGCAATGATCTGGGAAAGTATATGGTGTGATCACAATCGATTTGGATGGCCTCTTTTATATTCGCGAAGACTGTCCTCAGCATGGTCCGTTCTCCTAGTCTAGATATTGTCCATTGTTATTAAGATCGAGACACATGATTGATATCTAGCCCCACCGGACAATCTCATTCTTTGTACTTCCAAAAGGTACCACGGTGGCCGTCCTTTCCGTCTTCAAGCCCCATGCCCTTTTTCTTTCGTAAAGACCAAGTCAAGCATGATCATCCGGTACATAAATCGATATCAATGAGAGTGCAATTGCTGCTTGTGCAATTTTCACCATTTCTTAGTCTGTCCAGCTTTCTGCAAAGAAGTGGCAAAGGTCGCCTATCACAGATTGAACTATTCTTTGTGACAGCTCGGGTCACTAGCGATGTTCGCCTTCCTGGAAGTATCCGCAAGAATTAGCAAAGATATGCCAGGCAGGCTGCGTTCCATTCTGTGTTAGGGTGTTAGGGTGTCAGGGTTTCGGGTATCGGGTTTCGGGTATCGGGTTTCGGGTTTCCGAGACAAGCCCAACCCCAACCCTAAGCCCTAAATGTAATCCAGGCCAACTAGTCACCTGAGCTCTTTCACTGTCCAGAAAGCAGTATGGCGATGAGAAGCTATTGTCTAAAATTTATGCGGGGATTATACCATATCAACTGGGAAGGGGGCCGCATTGAGATGGGTGTCTGAATCGTGTTTGTCCCAGCGACCGGGACTCAGTTTGGTTCTGCCACACGTTGCTGTCTAGATCCGAGCAGGTTCTTTGTTATCACATACAAAAAGCACATGAACAGCCCCAGGATTGCCCAGCAAGGCCATAGGTCACGACACCACCAGCGCATCAAGTGAAGCCACACTGTCCTGGCCACGATGTTAGGCCCTTAGACTGTGCCGCGCACTGATCAAGCATAAGGTGCTCGTGAATGGGGCGTCGGCTAGAAGGGCGCGGCGTTGTTGAGCACCATTGCGTGTTTCTACTGGCAGTTTGAACTTTCCTGCTGCCATTCTGCCTGACACTTTCCAAATCCATACCGCTCCCTCGTAATGCACGAGCGCAATGCCTACTTCAATCTATATCACAAGACTGCATCTCGTTCCGGCTGGGATCAAGCATGTACCTATCAATTGGCAACCCTGGCACGTTGTCACGTTCTACAAACCAGGCCCGCTGTCGGTTAGCGCAGAACCTCCACACTATTACGAAATACCGAGTGACTCAAGCTTTACAAGATCCATTTAACGATTGTCTTGCAAACTCTTTAATAACTTGCTCCAAATGCATAAGAACAAACGTGAAACTTCCCTGATCATGATGTATGGGTTCTGTGAGGACATAGCTCCAAGTCTCGTCCTGCAATAGGAAGTGGCCGCCTGGCTCGCCAATTATGGGCAATGCTGTTGTTCACTAACCGGGATCTTTGCAAAAGCATGTGGTATTGGTGTGGTGTCTGTTGCGGAGAAAATTACACTTGAAGTACTCCGATGCGACACACGAGGCGCTTGCACCTGATTTTCTACGTCTAGTCTGTCAATTCAGGTCCGAGTCCAAAGCACGGCCAATCGCCACCATGGGCTGCCTGCATGGACAACGAGGAACAGCATCGCAATAATCCGTCATCCGGCGATACATAGGTCCCGTGCGACAGCAAAAATCGCAATCACAATACCGCAGAGAAATTCAAAATCTGCAGTTGCAATATGTTATACTAGCTAGGTCAGTACGGTATCTTTGTTCGTAATGATACCATGTGTTGGGCGGCGGATGAGCCCACACCTTCCCCACCACCCAACTGTAATGAAGCTCTTCCTGAAGCATTGATCGAAACCCGCGCGCTTCCCATAGCGGTATTGACCTTAGCCTCGCCATCCAGCGTGTGAAGTGCGACATTTCTAGACAAAAATGGTCCCGCGCCACTCTGACAGCCAACTCCTTCAACTCACCCATCAAGGCGAATCTTGGATCTTGAAATAGCATGCGAATGACTCGCAAAGAAACGCTTCCCCAGTTCTTGTATGCTCTTTTAACGAAGTGGCGTCGTGCGTGGGTCAATATTGCAAGATCTCTGCGCCTCATTCCATACCAATACATCTCAATATCCAACTTGACCCGTCGATGCACGTAGCCTGTAAATGCATCAGGAAAGTAACACTGGGAAGTCTGATACAATTTGGAGTAAATGGCGTTGTCGCGAAACGTTTCCTTGCGTCTCTGACCTTTTTTTCCCCTCCGGTTCCGTTTCTTCACGCGAGCCACCATAATTCGAGCATTCATAGTGACCTGCGTGGCTTTGAGACTTTATAATGGGCTAGAAACATCATTCAAAGTAAACTTGCCAAATTTGAAAGCCCGAGGTAGAGTAATTTCTCTTGTCATCTCTTTTTTCCAGTGCTTCATACTGTCTATTCCCAGCGCTAAGTTTGCGACACTTGGGCCAATGAACCTGGTGGCTTTTGCAGTAATCGGCTGTCCCTTCATAGAGAAGCACCGCATCATGTCCTATACAAGCGTGTTGACTTTGCAAATCTAATGCGCGGCTTCCCTGAGAGGTTCCCTGCTGGTCTGCAGCCGGGCTCTCAATTACGGCAAGTCGGTAAATTGTGGGCTTCAGTAATGGGTCAGGTCTACAAAGTAGAATGGCCGTGCACCGATCTTTGGCACATTCCAGATTTGGGGCAAGAACCTGTGGAAGATGTAGGACAGGCTATACCGCAGAAAGAAACCATTGGCTGTAGTAGTCATGCTACTGCAATACGGCTAGTAGATGATATGTCCGTCCTTCTATGATCGCTCACAATATAGGTACACTAGCAACATCCAGTCAACATGTCCAACTCCTCAAGTAAAGGAAAAGATTCAGAAGTAAGAAAAGAAAAGAGACAGAAGAGAACGAGGGCACAAAACACGAAAAAGCCAAATTTGAGCATGGATCTCAGCAGCTACCTCGAGGCTTCAGGTCACCACACTGCGTTGACCTCGCCCAGACGTGTTTGCACAATGACTCTCTATATATCATAATCCACACTCATTACCCCGGCTGCCTCTAACGCATCGTCCACGGCGGACGTGTATAGTTTGGCATTTTCGAAGTGCACAACGCCATCCCACATCAGGCGATAGGTGGAGCCTCTGACATAGCAAATCAATGTCTCCTGTTTCCAGGCTCCAAATGGATTGTGTCCTCCTGTCTCCGAAAAAAGCGGCTCCGCAATCGGCTCAACATGCTCGTAAGTTCTCCTGTCTAAGCAAAATGTGGCCAGATGTCGGCGCAATCCCTCCACAGCAGGGTCTCCTATCAGGGATCCTTCGTAGAACACCATGATTCACCAGTGGTTCATCGGCCTGAAGAAGCCCCCAACGACACGAAAAGAGCTTTTTCCTTTCAACCCGTCGAATGCTGCTGATTGTTCCACCAGTAGCGGGACGCTGTCTCGCTCATTGCCCTCCCCGAGGAATCCTACCAAGACGACCGTGGATTGAATCATGAAAAAGGCAGCAGTCTGCACAGCTTCAAAATGGTAGCCAATGTTTTGATCTCGTACCAGCAATGTTGACTGGATATGCGGATTGAATTTATTTATAGCTGTAAGCAAGACAAGGAAGGAATGAAAGTCGGCTCTGTCAAAATGCCTCTTTCATAAGGTACATCTGCGTATTCTTTCATGATCCATGACTAATTCTGTACTGCGCTACGGTTTTAGTCTAAATGTAAAGAAGCACTAAATGGGGTAGGCAAGCGCGACCGGAATTTGAACTAGCGCGGGTTGGGCTTAAGGTATCCGTCGCAATCCGCCGCGGCATAAACTTGCAGGTTCACCAGCTAGTGGACAGGATTCCTTGGGGCAATTCTTTTTTCTCTCTGTGCGAAATCCTTCGTACAATGCGCAGCATAATACCGCACCATTATGAGAGTCGTCACAGGAAGGCTGTTCTATGAGGGATAGGAGCTATTCAAGGTTTATTTTCCTTATGCATAAAAAATGCAGTCTCGAAATTTGGGCGCGTTCGGAATTCATGCGGCACTTTTTCCCATGCGTCTGTAAAAGAAATTTTGTAGAACTCGAAGGGAGGGTCGCGCCATGGAACCCCTCTTATCGAGCCATCAAAGAGATGACGGCTCTTTGGATCATGTGTATCTCGTCTGTATTCGGACCATCCTTGGGTTGAATGCAGCCTCTTGGTTCTTGGAAATTTGCGGATCGACATAGTCAGCATTCGGGATCAAGCTAAGCAAGGGACACGTGTTCTACATGCCTGATTCTGGTCGATGAGCTGGTCCAAATGGCTGCTGCACCTTTTGCAGATTCTCGGGGCTCTGGTGGTGGGATTGGGAATGGTTCCAAGCAATTATGTTGACCAAATATCCAATAGCCCACAATAGACAGCAGTCACAATTGTATTGGGCACTGTAAGACAGCGTGACATCTTTCCGTAGGCAGTAACATGCCCTCGATGAGATATAAATGACAGCACAAGGCATTGAAGTATGAGGCATAAGCCCTACGCGGCAATATGTCGCTGCCTGTCCTTGCCGCTACGGCCCACTACTCGGTCGTCCTCATTATCTATATGCATATACCACTTATCATATAAATGGGGGCAGTCATTCAGACATTGAGGTCTAGGGCCTTGGAGAGCATTAGTTTTCGAAGTATGATTGAGTAAACAGGTGTGGTTTATCTTGGAGTCAGTTGCTCTACTTGACTGAGCGCATCTGGCCAAGTGTGGACTCTTCGCTTATTGATATAAACAAATGAATGGCTTGAACATGGTGGCATCTATTGGAAATATAATTATCCAAAACTAATGGAAATGTAGACTCAATTATTTGAAAAACGCTGACTGAGCTTGTGATCTGAGTAGCACCAAGCTGAGCAAGGAGCAGTGGATTGAAGCCATCCACGCGCTACTAAGATACATGTCTCTTTTATATCTTTTGCTTTTACTCTTTCCTGGATCATTTTCAATTTCAACCTAGATTGGCCGACAAGCCGACTTTATGCTTCGGTTTCTGGCATGTTGACATAGCACTGGAGCTGGTGTCGTGTAATCAATGGGGCAGTTAGATCCCTACTTTGATACGCGAGTACTTCCTAACCATCGTCTCATACAAAACTTTGTCTAACATTTACCACCCAGTTTGAATCAGACAGTCAACATCGGTCTAGAAGCCCGTGAGGCCAGCTGAGTCTTTGTAGATATACTGATAGCTTAGCAATCATGATAATTTTGAACTTTCGGTTTTGGAGAGTACCAAATCAGCTGGTGTGCATTAATGGCAAATCTGCAGCAATCTTGAGCTGTTCTTACTAGGATATGAGCAAAGTTGGGATATGTCTTCCAGCTGATGTTTCATATGTGGCCACCCAGTTGCAAAGCCAATGGCTTAGCGACCGCTGCTTTTTCTATTTGAAAGGCACTCCGCGCGTCCAGATTGTTCTAGGTGCAGGATGGCCATCATGAGACCCAGTTCCCGAGCTAGACTAAACCGAGTTATTCCCATCGCAGCATTGTCCTTTCCCGTCGCCGTGTTGATTTGCCTGGCAATTGTATTTGTCGGCTGCACGTCGCCATTTACGCCATTCAACTTGTACTTTATGAAGGTACACACTACCACTCTACAGGCTGCGGTGAAATATTGACTTCAATAATCAGGTAGATCTGAACAACTTCCCACAGATCGCTAATGCCGCGGCTCGACGTTCACCGGATACTGTCGGTATGGGCTCTGTGAATGTCACGTATGCAATGCAACAGTTTTCTAGAAATGCAAGAGAAGAGGCACGAAAGCATCTGCATCTAGCAAGGGGCGCAGCGACCATCGTTAGTCAAGTAAGTGATACTCTCGACACATTGCTCAACGACATCAAAGCAGATCTGCCCAGGTACTATCACGTTGGCCTCCTAAGTTACTGCGAAGGCCGAGACAATATCATCAATCGATGTTCCGATCCAAGCACTTCGTTCGTATTCAACCTGCGAGATATAGTTAGGTCTCTCACCGGAGAGATTAACGGGCTGTCAGCGAGTGGCGGAGAGGTCTATCTCTCAGGAAATCTACGCAGCTCACGAGCCATCATCTGCATATATATATCAGCCTATGTGGCAGCATTCTTGACATTGGTCTTTGGCATCAAAAGAATATTTATTTCTCGTGGAAGTGCATTGCTGGTGATCTCATCCCTTGTAAGTTCGCACCAGTCAGCGAGACACCGGCTCTACTAATTGGCGTAGATTACGACGATTCTACTCACCGTTGCAACTTCATGGTCAATCAGTCTATACTATGTCTACACGCAGCACATTCAGGACGTTTTGGGGAAATATGGTGCGCAGGCCAGTCTCGGAACTCACACTATAATTTCCACATGTATGGCAGTTGCCTTTTCTCTTGTATCAATTGGAATGAATATCTGGGTCACTCAGCTAAAGTAAGGCAGCCATTGGAGCGAAGTCCGAGCAGAGCGCAAGCAATAGTTAGCAAGTCGGACATATCTGACACTTCAGGCATACGACTGCACCAGCTGCTTTGAACTGCTCTTACTGGACAGTCAGTCTGGGGTGTGCCGATATCATTGGAATGATGGGAAAGCACATTAGGAAAGTTTATGGTGCTGTATTAGACGGATAGTGCAATGTTGTTTAGCAGTAAAGTATTAGGAACATCAACCATAGAATCACACTCAACGCTTCAAATTCTTCTATATGAGAAAAATGGAAGGGAGGGAGGGCTTTTGTCTGTATTTGCAACGATTTCTGAATGTGAAGCTATACTCACCACGAGGCAAGTTAAGCAAAGCCAAACGCAGTCCACCACATTCCTTTCCGAGGACACTTAACCAAAGTCCCTCGTCGTTACAAGAATGCGATAAACAGCCAACCCGTATGACTTATCATTGGGTTTGCACTTGGCCATGGTACAAATAATTGATTCGGGAGATACACGCCGTCTTGGCCCGTGGGTAGCGCTACGCAGGCGAAACTATACAGCGGACTCGATACTAGGAACAAAGTACGTCTGGCACGAGCTTACCCCTTGAAACTGGTCTTTAGACTTGTAGGTATAAGCTTGTTCACCTTTGATATCAGGGATGAGTACCACAGACCGAGGCTCCAAAGATTGCCAGCAAGCCAGGTGTATCTGAGCCTACGTCAGATGCTGAGATGAGACCCGCTGAAGCCTTCGCCCGCAGTGAGCTTGTTTTGTTCTCTTTCACAATGATGCTACGAAAAAAGTCAAGCTTGTACAAAGTGTGAAGCAGGGTTAGGCGGTCCCGGGAGAGATGATCCTCAGTTAATCCAGTCGACACACGTGATATTACCAGCCCTAACCGGCAGTTGCTTGATGAACCCGACTCAGAGAAATAGACATCACAGCAGTAACAAGACCTCTTGGATGCAATGTAGCTAATTAATCATCAGAGAAGATTACCAGCGTCTTGTTTTCTCTCGCATTTCTCTGTACCGCAAGTCCGGGAAAGTTCTATGCTAATTTGAGGACGATAGCTGTTTCGCAGCCCTTGGGATACTTATTTGCAGGTAAACAGTTCATTTCTCATATCTGCAACAGAATGCCTCCAACAAAGAGCGATTGTGGCAAATCCTTTTGCTGTCCGTCATGATGATTGCAGCTGTGCATATGAACTAGGGGTTGAGCTTTTCGGTCAGACTTATTGAGCTATTAACAGACCTATGCGACGTATCTTACTGTATAAAATACAAAGAAAATGCAGGTCGCAAGTTTTCCTGTTCCAGAATGGCAGTAGTATCTCATTTCACTGGTGCTGATAGGGCAGCAGCAGCAAGTGACAGTCAGTTTGAATGGGGACGTGACCTGCCGCGGTGGTTTTGATCAATAGCTGCGACTCTATTCAGTTTGATAGGTGTATTTATCACTAGCAGCCAGTTTATGCAGCAGAGCTTACGCGAAAGTCATCAAACAATGCCGTTGGATGCTAGCCCTCGCCCAATTAAGTGAAAACAGCCAATGAATTTTATCAGGCTGTGCGCGATTACACTAACAGAGATAATACTAGGAAACGTACCCCAGACACGATATATTCTCTTTGTTCTCAGTGACAAGCAGATGCCTGATAGCCAAAGTCATAGTTTAAATGTAGAACGCGGAGAACTTATCATGATGATCTTGTTTAACAGTAAGAAACCAAGTACCTGACTGCGAATCTAATGATGACTGCTCATCTAATGAATCCAGTTGCGTCCGCGCGTATTCTTCAAGTAAATAATGTGAGGGATAGTGGTCTCCGGGGAAATTTCGCCGTATCTAACTATATCCCGACATTTCATTTGGAGTAAAGGA